CAGGATGAATATTTAAATATATGAAATAGTTTACCGATTTACAGGTCGTTTCCAAATCTTAGTTAAAATACGAACATGGGAAAGTAAAGGATTTATGCATGTAAAAATACATTGCTTTTGAATTTCTGATTTACGGTAATCAGAGTGGTAACCAAAATTGAACGGCTCAACAGGGCGAGTTTATCAAGCCCTTAACGTCTTTTCGATACGCACAGTTCACCGGAAATGAGAAGTGGTCGACCGCTATACTATTGGACGAGCGTGTGACAACCAAAGTTTGGTGCAAAAAGGCAACGTGATCACAGAAAAATACATAATGTCTCTGCAAATTAATCAAAAGAGCGAGAGGAAGCATTCCGAGACACGTGCGATTTCAGGTCACGCTCAGGAGCGTAACTAGAGGGATGATGAGAAGGTTCCGACACCCCCCAAAATATTTTTCCGGCTTAAACAGTCCGGGTGATACTGAAGTATTTAAATGCCGTCGTATCGACCACGAGATCCCAAAGTTAGCGGTTTTACACATACCTCCCCCCCCCCCCCCAAGCTCCTTCGAACAAAATTCCTGAGTACGCCATGGTTGCGCTCAGGAACTGAAACTTCGACACGCCTATGGTATTGCTAGCTGGATTCGAGTATGGTGGCAGTTGTGATCTGTCACAGGTTTTCAATCATTGCTAGAGCAAAATTGGCTGGGTGGGCATTAAGACTCTTGTTTCACGCTTTCGTTCTCTTCGCGCTTTATTTATTTTTTTGCAACATTTGTCTAAACAAGAGAACTTATTATCGTTCAGGCTTTTTGAAGGTAGTGACAAATGAAACAGAATGATCGAAATGGCGACCCTCGGTGCACGCAATCGGAAATGAGCGCCAGAGCGCTGGCGTATAGTCATTACGGCTTTCCCTTACTCTGTAGATGGTAAAATATCAGCCGAATGACGTTGAACGGGCACAACTGCTGCTCGCGTGGCTTTCAAATCGTTTTCTGCTGCACGCACACCTCGACCGTGCCTGATGCGCGCCAAAGACCCCACACTCGTGTTAAATCATACGTCAATCACCGATACATTGCGTCAGATCGCGTCTTTGCTTCCGTTGCCGTGGTGCCTCAGCCTTTTGTTTTGCACGCACCCATTTGTGCTAGTGACAATGCTGCAGAATCAATTTTCCTTTCACTCTTTGGAGCTCTTTCAATGCGCTGAAATCGACATCAATAAATCATCCTATAGCTGGGCACGTTATTATTTAAAGTGAGTTTGGCCATTGTTCTCGGCCACACCTCTGCGGGACTAAACCCTGCATAAATGTAAACAATTCCACCTGCTGCACTTGGTGGACATTGATGAAGGAGCAAAGCTGCCGGTGGCGTGCAGTGGGGCTGAATGAGGTGAAAATGGCGTTGCATGGAGCTGGTGCGTGGAGTGGGAGTGGTAACCCACTTTCTGTGGCACGTTCCCTTTTATGATCTACGACGGCCCTCATGCACGGAAGGCTCCACTAAGACAAGTTCGTTCTTAATAGTCATATGTACCTCAGTGGCCACACCACGAGTTCACGCTGTATAAGGACAAGCTATCTTTGATCATCCAAACAACTAATGGCCCCAAACTTGCTTTCATACATCGGATCCGCTGGCTCTATCTTCAAACTGTGACTCTTCAGCAAGAAAGTGTGACAAGCGCATTTTTTGCGCTTGTCTCATCATGAACCATTACCAACACGCCCAACTGGCAGTCATCCTTAAGAAAGTGTGGTGTGTGTGTGTGTGTGTGTGTGTGTGTGTGTGTGTGTGTGTGTGTGTGTGTGTGTGTGTGTGTGTGTGTGTGTGTGTGTGTGTGTGTGTGTGTGTGTGTGTGTGTGTGTGTGTGTGTGTGTGTGTGTGTTCATTTTGGCACTACAAGACCTGCATATTTTTTGGCGATAGCAATTATATGAACACTCCCGGCTGTATTTTGCTGCCGGCGTCGTCATCGTTCCCCGTATCACGTTAAAGATCCCCAGGTGGTCAAAATTTCCGGAGTCCTTCACTACGGCGTCTCTATCTATCTATCTATCTATCTATCTGTCTCTCTCTCTCTCTCTCTTTCTATATATATATATATATATATATATATATATATATATATATATATATATATATATATATATATATATATATATATATATATATATATATATAAGTAAGAAAGAAAAACTATCCAGAAAACGACTCGCGGAATCGAATCTCCGTCCTCTGAATTTGGAGTGCGAGGCACCAGCCACTGAGGCACGAAGGATGACCTTCTGGAATGTTCAAACGGCAAGCCATTTATATATACCACTTACCGCCTGCGAAGAGCATCTCGGGGGAACTACTATCGTGTTTTCAGCATTACCAGCGAGAGGGTGCAATGAGCGCGCGTCGCCAGATCGTCACGACGCGGCGGCGCGTGTCGTGACGATCCCGCGCGTTCTTTGCCCCGCGGAGAGGGGACGCTCTCACGTGCGCTCGCTTATCTCGTGGTGGGGACAATCGTACGCCTTGGGTTTTCACTAAAACGATTCTGTTGTAGTTACCGGGCGCACAATGGTCACTGTAATCGTTACACAGTCTCCGTTTGCGAAAAGGGCGCGCTTTTCAAACACAGCGTAGTAACAACTGAGACGCTTATTCGCGTTCATCTGTACCTGTGAATACGTTTCTTGCGTCATTTGTGCGTGAGAAACGCGGGGCACGTTTCGATCTGCTTGCCATTCTGCGCGTGACCTTCCAATTGGTTGCCATCGCGTTCATTGCTTCGCCTTTGCGGCAAGCTGTCGCTTTTTTAATGATTGGTGTGCCATCATTTTCAATACAATTTCACCCCGTCTATCACTACAACCCGCTAAAGGAGCATACGTTGACTGCTTTTCTATGAAGAGCCCTTATTCTCTATCACCACTTGTTTTTCAAAGCTGGCTTTGCCGCAGCAAGAGCATACGTGTGGAGAAGCCAGCTTGTCATGAACTTATGCATGACAATGGTACGCGTTATTAGGGTTGATTTGTTCTACCAACTTCCTCCTAATACTATAAAAAAGCGCTATAATTACTGGTAGCGGTGCTCAGACGACGGCATTCAATATAATGGCAGTCCCACGAACAATGACTCCTAGCGATTCTATTAAAAGAGAGCGAGTAGTTGACTCAAAATATGGCACTTGCAGCAAAGCAACCCCAGCACTTTTCCTTCAGCCAAGCAATCCCAACGCTTCCCGACACCTCCACCGTGATGCAGCCTCGCTTCGCACCCTCTAGACAAAATCCTGCTGACACCCATCATTGACCCCTACCTGAAAGTCATGGTTTATGTGGGCTGCCAACATGCAGTGACAATGGTTTAGGACATCGTCTTCTCGACATGACCATACCATGCCCTCAAAAACAGTAAAAAGGAGCATTAGATGCTTAAAGGAACACTAAAGAAACAAAAATATATTTTACATGTATTAGTGAATTACTCTTTCACAATACCAATATCACCACGCCTACCGCTGGAAAACGCTTGATGAGCGTGACGTCACAGATGTTGATGGCGTCTGCTATAGATCCTACGTAGTTACTAATTAGTAAAAATGAAGGGCATTATCCACTTAGGAGTACTGAAAATGCATAAGAACATAAGACTTTACATAATACATCTCAAGAAATTTCCTTGAACCAATGTCACCAAATACAAAAAATGTGCTTTGAAATTCCTGACGTCACGCGCGGAAATTTTGGTGTAAAAATGAAATGTGGAAGTCTGACCTTCATTTATTGTCTATTGATAGATCGATTGTGGGGAACCAACAAAATTAGTTACCAAAGTAGTACTCTGATAAGTACACACTATCGATCTAATTTGACTGATTGTTTAACTTTAGTGTTCCTTTCAATAACGTGGAAGTTGGCGATAGAGAGCACGCCGAGCTACTTCCAGCATTGCTCTTCAAGACATATACACAGCGCGACAAAAAGATGTGACAGCGGGAACGACACGACGTGGCATGACTGGCAACTTTTAAAGATGAATGCAAGTCAAGTATAGTATAGCTCAGCTAGTGACTTTCACCGCGACGCTTTAATTCTCTCGGTCTGACATAGCCAGCAGGAACACGAAGGTTAACGAACATGCCAGATAAAAGTTAGGGACTGCGTAACGAGCAGTGAAACAATAAATAGTATGTGTATATGATCCGACCTCCAGGTGCACTTGAGATACAATTAAGGTGTTTAGAGCCACGGAGGCAGCAGTATGAAAAATAAAACGGCCATTGTCGTAGTTAACTGCGTAAGACAAAAAGTAAAGCAGGGCACTCAGTACAGTGCGCATTGTGTATATAAGCGATGCTTGGTTGGGTTACCGAATGTATGCTAGGCGACAACGGATACTGCATAACTGTTCAAAAATTCCTGGCAAGAGAGGGTGCTACGTGAGAAGAGAATATGAGCAATCTAAAACGACAGAGTATTATACTGTGTGACAAAAGCAGAAAATCTGAAGGCATACAAGCTGCTTGTCAAAAATACGGCTACTGGTTAAGGTCGCTGGTAGAGCCAGAGACCTTTTTCAGTGCAGCGGGCATAGATAGGCCATGGAGTGGTCACAAATTGATGACGTCCATTGCGGTGGTCATGACGGCGGTAGATTTTTCATGTAGCTGCTACGCTGGTTCACCCATGTTTTTTGTATACCACACGTGTTTAGTGCTTTATTTTTTGTATGTTCTGGTTACACGCACAAAGACTGAATTTTCGGCGCACACCACATCACTACGCATGGGAAGCTTCGTGGTTGTTCAGTTTGATTCTGCTGTGATTACGCGCAGGATTCGAATGATCAAGCCTATTTCGGAACTTATGCGAGCACAGCGATAAGGCTCTAATGTTCCATGCCCCATACATAAATGCCGACGCTTGAGCCTGGCACTACAGTCATATGCGTCCTTGGCGCGTTGATTCTGTATCAGTTGAGCAACATATGTTGTATCTCATTGCAGGCGTTGGCCATGGACGATGGTGTAGTGCAGGTGCATCTCATGGATCCCTCTGACAGCAGCCACCAGCCGAGTCGCGAGCAGATCCAGGAGAAGCTACTGACCCTGTAGGAATTAATAAAACATGTTTTCAGCTTCAACGCACTGGTTTGTTACGTTGGCACTGTCCGGTCGAGATACCACCAAAAAGTGTATTTTGATGAGCCTTATGATAAAAAAAAGAAAATAAAGGTGTAGATGAGATCCTGAGCTCGCGGGATTTCACACTATCTTCTGTATACGCGATTATTCATTTCACAAGTACTGCTAAAGGAATATCGATGGAGTTAGCGGCGAATTGTGGCAACGAAAGAGGGTAAGCATGAGCGCCCGCTGCGATAGAAGTGGCAGCATTGCAACACGCTGCGCTGTGGATGACGACACGCTGATAGCGAGAATTTTCAGGACCGTTCAAATTTCACATTCATTACTACTTGATTTGTAGCCTACGACACTGCCTGAGTATGCACTTTAAGAACTACAATTGTATACATAGGACAAAAGAGGTTTTAAAAAGAACTGAACAGGACCTGCAAAAGTCACATAAAAAGTGTGCAGTGGGAAGGCAGCAAAAAAAAAAAAAAAACAAGAAAACGAGCATTTCTGTGCTTTTCAGGAGGCGTAACTCTTCCCAATACTTGCCTTCATTTTGTTGTTTTTTATCATTTTGTTGTTTTTGTTGTCGTGTGGCAGTGGCGAAGCCCGAGGGGTGGTTTGGAGGGCAGTGAACACTCTATAACCACCTCGAATTTACAATATTTTGCATGTGTACATATCATCATCATCATCGTCGTCATCATCATTATTCTGACTAGGTCCACTGCAGAACAAAGGCCTCTCCCATGGTACGCCAGTCAACTCGGCTCTGTGCTTGCTGCTGCCAGTTTACATCCACAGACTTCATAATCTTATCTTCCCACCTAACCTTCTGTCTCCCCCTAACCCGCTTGCCTTATTTTGGAAATCCAATCAGCTACCCTTAATGACCCGCGGTTACCCTGCCTATGCGCTACATGCCCGGCCCATTTCCTCTTCTTCATTTCAACTATGATATCCTTAACCCCGGTTTGTTCTATAATCCACTATACTCTCTTCTTGTCTCTTAAGGTTACACCAACCATTTTCCTTTCAATTGCTCGCTGTGTCGTCCTCAATTTAGGCTGAACCTTCTTTGTAAGTCTCCAGGTTTCTGCTACGTAGCTAAGTACCGACAAGATACACCTGTTATATACCTTCCTCTAGGGATAGTAACAATCTACCTGTCATGATTTGAGAGTGCTTGTCAAATGTGCTCCACCCCATTCTTATTCTTCTGGTTACTTCAATCTCGTGGTTCGGCTCCACGGTCATTACCTGTCCTAAGTACACATAGTCTTCTACAACTTCAAGTGCACTATTACCTATCTTGAAGCGCTGCTCTCTTCAGAGGTTGTTGTACATTACTTTCGTTTTCTGCAGATTAATTTTAAGACCTACCTTTCTGCTTTCCTTGTCTAACTCCGTAATCATGAGTTGCAATTCGTCCCCTGAGTTACTCAGCAATGCAATCATCGGCGAAACGCAGGTTACTAAGGTACTCTCCATTAACTCTTATTCCTAACTGTTCGCATTTTAGGGACATATACGCGCCCACAAACACTGCACGAGCATGCTTATAGGAAAACCGGACTTCCAACTTTCCTCAATCCCGCACCCCATCCTCCTCTTCCTCGAAGAAAAAAGAAAGCAGAAGAAGCAATTCTGGCTGTACCTTTATTGCCGGGCACTTTACTGCCTGGACACTCTGACAAACCGCAAGCAAGTGTCGCAGGGTTCCGGAAACTAATAGTCCAACTTGCACAGGCGTCTAGCATCTCGCCGCTGTCAAAATGTGGTCTCCACGGCCTGGATTATACCAATGGAGCTCTGGGTGAGCAGTCGAATACTATAAGCACTTCACCACCGTGGCGGTTAGCAACTAATTATTAAAAATGCCTTCGTCTGCAATCGAAATACACACTGCAAGTATACGAATAATTCCTTATTGATCGATATCTAGGACTGTCTCCACATTGGTTTCATTTGCTCAAGATGACAATTTATTGCCTATTCTACTATTCTATTAGATTCTATTTGTTAGATACTGAATATAATATTAAAGATGAAAAGTCAAAGCCAGTTTCAGTGCCTTTCAATGGTGCGTTTTGAAGCCCACTCTAGAGAAATAGAAAGCTTTATTTATTAGAAAACATTTGTGGAGCAGTAAAAATATGGTTTAAATAATACCGCTTTTTTTAAAACAAGATGTGACGAGAGCGCCGCAGCGCCAAAAATTTCCGAAACTCTTGCGTTCACAATAACACTACATAAATAACTAGTAATTAATTCAAAAAGTTTTACTGCTAGATGAAAGTAATAATTTTTGTGGGATAACAAGAAGTTTTTCAAATGACACTGTTGCAATGATGGTAACTGCGGTTGAATACGGCCCATGAGATTGCACGAATGGAAAGCCGCTGGCAACACTGGACCTGCAGAAGAAGTTTTCCGCGTTAGCGAGCAAAAGCCTTCCCAGAGAATGTCTGCTACTTGCTAAAAACCAGGTGAGGATTCATCCTGTACTTTATCTTAAACCGCGATAAAATGCGTAAATCACGCCCGTGAACGCCGGTGGCCTGGATGCGATAGTCCTAAGGGGGGCCAGAGCCTTGTATTATCGTTCGATGCTCCATTCGATTGCGATCGCCGTCGTGTTGTTAACTTTGTTAATCACGCTCTCACACCATTTACGAGTGGTTTCGTGTGTCTAGCAGCCTTCCCTATTGATAAAGTCCACGAGGGAACTGTCGCTCATACGCTGATTGCGTTCACGCGGTTCACAGGGTGATTGAGCTTTCAGTTGAAACTAAACGTCAGCCGCGCCGGCTTTGGTATCGGTACGTTTCGGCCGTATATTTGGAGTGATGGAGTGTGAGCGAGTGATGGTTTACAATAACGCGCTAATAGTAAGCCGTTTTAAGTAGACGTCACTGGCGATACGCTACCATCACTGCGTCGACGCCGTGCACGCAGTAAGAGCCAGTTCTGTATTTACGTGCCCCGCCCCCTTTTTTTAAGGTGTCGTACTCCAAATTTTCAGTGAACGCAGTCTGATGGGTCGCATTGTTTAGCCCACGTAGAAGTTAAACACTGTTCGATTTCAGCCCAATTTTGACCGCGGGTGGTACCCTTCGAACTGTGTTCACAGGAGTAATCAGCGCAGCTTCCATGCGAGCGTGTTTTATTATTCAAAATATCTCAAGAGGTTTATTTGCTTGCTTGCTTACGCTGACCGTGGCGCTTATATCGTAGGTAATTCACTGTGAAGCGTTAATGTCAATAGCAATAGTACCATTTCGTAATAGTGATGTTTGGAAAGTAAAAAGATGAATGTCTTTCAGCTTGCATCACCTGTAAAAATTGCCTCATCGCAAAACACTTGATCACTGTCATGGCGTACAGAGATCAAGCAATTGCCAATTGATGACAATTTAGCACTGCAGTTGTAAGCTGGTTTATTCGTTTGGTTGTTTCAAGGCGAAATTGTAACAATTGGCTTGCGGAACATGAAGCTGAGTAATCGCTTGACTAGCTCGTACCACCTTAGCAGCAAAGCAAAAGCAACACACCAGCTAGTATTATTAGCACAGAATGCAATGGCACATATTTTTCTACATGGTTTTGAAGATTAGACAGAAGTAGAGTGCACGGAAATATAAACACAGCTGTCATTAGAGTGCTGGCAACACAACAAATGTGTGCAGGAAGGGAACTCTGAAGGAAAAAAATAATTAAAAAACATCTTGACTTTGATGTGAGTTAACTGCACAAAAATATAAGTACAGCCCTCATTACAGTGGTGGGATACCAAGAAGTGAGTACTCATAAACGAGTTAATGCAAAAAAGAAACAACTTGACTTGGGCACACTTATGCTCTAGAGGTGAAACCAGTAAAGGATTATTAAACAAAATTGTAAGAGAAAGAGCAATTATATACTGAATAAAACCTAATAAACAGTAATGTAATAAACAACCACAATGTCATGACAAACAAGACGTAAAAAAAAAGTACCAGACATCAATTTACTAGTGTAGGAGCTTGGGTTCATGATGGCAAATTTTACTGTGTGAGAACATAGGAAAATATGGGACAGAGTATAAATTCGTCATCATAAAAAAAGACGTTCAGGATTTCAAGATTTTAAAGAAAATCGCCACTTTCTTCAGTTAGGAGTGCCCCTGTTATTTTTAAAATAATCTAGATGTTCCATCGAACATTACAATAAAGTTATTTCAATCAATCCTCCATTAGAGGAAGTAGGATGTCGGGTGTCCACGAAGTTAACCGCTCATTACCGTAGTTCATGCGCAACCTAGGCTTTATATTAAGCTCCCATGTAGTTCGTGCAGGGATTGTTTTGCATAACATGTATCCAAGAATAGAGATGTGTTTATCTTATAGTGGCGTAGTATCTCTAGACATAGCTTGTGTCTGTATAACTGTTTGATAGGCAATATTTTGTAGCTTTTAAAATATGGTCGAGTACTTTTGTAGAGTAGAATTTTAGCGATTGTACACTTTTATTGCACTAGAAGAGAAGGTTTGGGACAGTCATCGTTGGCCACACCAAGCAACAGTACGCTAGTCGTGAAGGCATGGGAGCATAGTAAATTTTCAGCTTACTATTTGTAGGAACGTAGTACCTTAGTCCATTTAAAATGCCAATTCTTCTGGAAAGATCTTTCTATGTCATGTCAATTTGAGGCACCCAGGAAAGGAATGTTGGTATAGGAATGCTCAAGTCACAGTATATGTATTGCTGCAGAACTTGATAGAATGAAATGGTGCAACTGTTTACTATGCATTTGAGGCAATAAATTTGTATTGGTGTTTTGGGAATTGGCTGAATCAACAATTGAGTGATGCAAGCAGAACCCAATTTTCACTAGTAATATTGGAGAAAAGTTTAAATATAATGGTAAGCTTCTGTTATAGTTCAACAGGCTCTAAAGAAGCATCAATTGCTTTTTTAGTATGGGGTAAATTTTGACGTAAGATTGTCTGTATGATCCAGTATGGCTCTCATTTCTGTTTGTCTATTTATGACAGGCATGAATAATTAGTAAATAAATTTGATGTCATGAAAGATGCCCCTCTGATAATGTAAACTAAGCCAAGAGCATTACTGTAACACACAATTCATTAATTTAATGCTAATTGAGCTAGGGAGGCAGCTGCGCTTGTGTGTCCTGACATATTTAGGGAACTGGAGAAGAGACAAATAACATGAAAACAATACCACAGGCACTGTATTCCATCCTCGTACTTTTGTCTTCAGTTCCTGTGATGTTTAAAGATCACTGTGATGATGAAAAAACTCATCTAGATTAAGGTATTAGTACTGGGGCTATGAACCAGATCTCATTTACCCCATTATAGCCTCACGATAATGAAGTTGCACCTGACATGACAATGGCTTATGTCAGAAAGTTCGTTATAAGTGTACATCCGTAAAACGGTACAAATGGCAACACGATTCTTCGTTTACTTCATTACAACCGAAATGTGGTTATATCCATATTCATTATAAAAAGTACAACTGTATTCATAGCCATTGTGCCCGCTTTGCTTCATTGTTTTGAAACGGAGATATTACTCATGACATATGACCTCATGAGTAGAGAGTGATGGAACGGCGATTCTTACTGAGTCAATGTAGAATGATAGGCCGTCTTGCTGACTTTACAGTGTCTCACCATCCCGGTGATCGGCACGGCACCACCATGACCATCTCAAGCCAGCTGGTGGTACCCATGACGCTGTGGGGCAAGATTGCCCCCACCCACTGCATGTCGTCCGTGTTCATCACGAAGGACCAGAAGATGATCGTCACGGGCTGTAAGGACGGCCAGATATGCGTCTGGGACATTGTGGACGGAGCCAAGGTAGGCCTTTGTGTGCTTCCCTTGTCACTGCAGGGAAGGCAGTTATGTTTTTACTTGGTGCTTCACAGTAAGATGTCATGTGATGTGTGACAGACACACGTGACAGCTTTCCTTATCGGAAAGTGCACATCCGAGAGTTTGCAAACTATTTTATTGCCCCTACTTCTTAGTATTGCAATGCACGTAAAGTATTGCTCCCACATGGTGGCATTGCAAAGCGTGCAGAGGTAATGCTCCCTTAGTAGATCACTCAGACATATGCCTGTTTGGTTAACATACAACCTTTTGCTGCGCTTATGATTTGGGGTACTGCCACATAACCATTTTTCGGGTGTCTTCAACTTGTCATCATTGAAACGAAGCTGTTAGGACTACATTGAAACGCCGCCACTAAGTAGTTCAAGAAAGCTGAATACTATCACCACTGTTACTAAAAAGAAACATACTAAACCCTAATTGTGTCTAAATGGCAGAATTAACTTTTTAAAATCTACCATTCGAGCAAAAGTGGTGGCTTAAATTGTGGGATTGGAGGTTGAATATCCTTTGGTCAGAGAGGCAAGAACCTGTTGCTTCAGGGATGAAAACAAGGCAAGGTTCAGAGCAGAACCAAAGTGGTGTAGTAACTCGATAATTGACACATCCTCATTGGGAACCTTCCTGGCTTGAATCAGTTGTAGTGTCCAGGAATGTTTTTGTGTTTTCATTAATGACATGATTGCAAGGCAGTACAATGCAAAACTAATTCAAGAATGGTGGCTGTTCACTGCATAAGTTCCTCGTTCAATATCTGACCATGTCAGCTGTGCTTTGATTGGGAGACATGCTGCAAATGCTCATGTAGCTCTCTTTTGTGGTTAAAACTAATAGAAGCTAGCTGCACTCCACTTCAAGAACGTGCATTTACTTTCATTACTTACACTGCTTGATTGGCTATTCTGTTTTCTTTGCTGTGGTAGCATAGCAGGTAGGTGCCACACGACTGCGCTCAAGGTCGCGGGTTATTTTTAGTGTACTGCGGCTGCATTTTGATGAGGTCACATTGGTACTTGCATTTATGTGCACGTTCAGAACCGCAGGTAGTCAGAATTGATGCAGAGTTCTCCTCTACGGTGTGCCTCATAATTATATTGAAACAACCTCGATGGGCGCATGAAGAGGACAAAGTCGAAGCGGGACTGGCCCACGAGCAGCTTGGTCTCCTCCTGTTGCTAGTGCTGAGCTGTACCTCTCGCAATCATTCCATTGTGTAAATGAATGCGTTCCATCATCACAGATCTGGTGGGAGGATAAGCCAGCTATGGTCAAGCGAGAGTGGAGGGCAGCCGTCTGCCAACAAGGGAACCGCAAGAGCACGAGCTTCACCTCAGCCGTCGACTAGTAGGCTTGCCACCACTATCTCAAGAGATGAACTTGTACGGTGACATCCGGCAGCTGACCGCGAGGGTGCCATTTTTCCACTTCTGAGAGCCACGCACATTCACAGGGAAACCTGGCGATGACGTTGAAGAATGGCTCAACCACTATCAACGGGTGAGCCGAGCCAATGGCTGGAATGCCCCAAGCCAGTTGTCCCACGTGGGTCTATTTCTCAACTTTAGTGCTTTAGTACGGATCGAGATTCACGAGGACACCTTGACAACATGAGACCAATTCATGGAGGAGATTAAGAAGTGCTTTGGCAACCCTGCGACGAAGAAGAAATGCGCAGAGAAAATGTTCTCGCAGAGAGCTCAAGCTTGTGGTGAGACTTGCAGAATGTACATTGCAGAGGTACTAAAATTGTGCAAGTGTGTGGATGCCAACATGATGGAAGAAGACAAGGTGGGCCACATTCTCAAAGAAATTGTGGAATACGTCTACCACATTCTCATTGGCAAGGAAAGTCTTGATTCTGGGGCCAATGTGATCGTGCACTGCCGAACGTTTGAGGCTTTAAAAACTCGCCGAATTACTACGAAGTTTGGACGCCTGGCCAATGTCATGACGGTCATCACTGTTGATGTGTGCCACGACTCCTTGCCTGCAGACCTTTCTTCAACGATTTGCCTCATTGTATGCGAGGAACTTCGTCGCCAGGTTTCTGTACCTGTGAATGCCTGAGAACCCCCGTGCGATACACCATCCACAAGCATTAATTCTGCGAGTTTCAACGAGTGCAGCTATCCCAACCACGGTCCTCAGCTATGGGCTTCACCACCGTGTTCTTCTGTAGAGCCACCTTATGCTCCCTGCAGTCATAACGGCTACACCGGCCATCCGCCTCCTTTGTGTCTCGGTGGGAACAGAGCGTCGCGTACCCTCAACATCCAGTGACCTTCTCTGTGGCTCGTGAATGGCTCGTCTGCTACCAGTGCAGTGTTAGTGGACATATCGCCGATTTTGCCCAATTCGACGTCATCAATGTTCGACATTGCCACAGAGAGTCACGATGTTTGTACGCCGAAGCCAATGGCATGACTACACCTCCTGGCCCCCAACCCAAATGACGAGCGGCACGCCCATCAGCTGAACAACCGGAGTGATTCGCCCGGGCCTGTGCGCAGCTTAAAGCCACCGTACCGATTTTCATTAAAGTATGCCTCCACCAGTTTCGATGCTTCAGAAGAAGGCCCATGTACCTGTTGACGATGTTCCCACGATGGAATTGATAGATACTGGCGCTAGTGTTTCTGTGATGAGTTTAGTTTTAAGCAACGACTTGGCCGCAAGGTTGTTTCATTGGGACAAACCTTCCACTTTTCGGGTACTGAGTGGCGCGTTCTTGCATCGAGTCGGTGTCTGCGCTGTGTCTGTTAGTGTTGCCGGTAAAACATTCAAGACGGAATTCACAGTACTGGCTCAATCAACGCACATAATTATACTTGGCATAGACTTTTTGCGAGAGTGTCTTGTGACTGGATTGTGAAGCAGGTGAGGTTCCGTTGTCTACTCTCGCCCAGCAGCCCGATTGTGAAAAAGGTAACCTCATTGTAGCTAAAGATGCCCTTCTGCCAGCGTGGTCCACAGCCAACGTACAAGTTGCCGCTTCGCGAAACAGGCTCGAGTTTTACTTCATGTGACATAGTGAGTGAGCAATTGTTCGTAGCTTGTGTCAAGAAAAACATCTTTGTACCATCCTGCGTTTTGTCTCTCGCAGACGAGAAGGCTCAATTGTGGGTGATAAACAGCTCACCCTAGTCTATTGTACTAGCGGCTGCTATGCACCTTGCCCTGTTTGAAAAGCAGAGCAGTATCTGCGTTGGAGCCTTAAGTGATCCTGAAAAGGGGGATCTTGATGAAACTTCTTGTATGGAAGCTGAATTCTCAAAAATGATAGCAGGTTCATTTTCTTGCAGAAGCGCAGAGTTCTGGTTGCACTACTGGTGAGGCAAGCTAAAGCATTTGATTTTGCACAGAAGGTGCATAGGGCGGAGATACCGACCGCGCACGCTCGTGACAAGATCGATACTTTCTCTGCTCATTCTCTTCAACAAAAGCACTATCACATTTCAGCGTCTGAGCACAAAGTTATTGCCTAAGAATTTAGCGAGATGCTAGCCGCCCATGTCATTCAAAAATCGTCTAGTCCCTAGGCTGCGCCTGTTATCTTGGTAAAGAAAAAAGACGGGTTCCGGAAGTTTTGCATTGATAATCGTCGTCTCAACTTTATAACCAAAAAGGACGTGTATCCCCTCCCTCGCATGGATGACGTCATTGACTGCCTGCATTCAGCTTATTTTTCTTCGGTAGACTTGTGATCTGGGTATTGGCAGATTCCCAAGGATCTGACTGATAAAGAAAAGACTGCTTTTGTTACTCCAGATGGTCTGTTTGAATTTATTGTTATGCCATTTGGCTTGTGTAATGCTCCGGCAAAATTTGAACGCTATATGGACACCATCTTAAGTGGGAAATTTGTTTATGTTACCTGGATGATGTGGTTATGTTTGGACGAACTTTCGAGGAACTAATCATCACCTCAACGTTGTAACATGTTAGGAGGAAGCTGCCTTGACACTGAACTAAAAAAAATGTCATTTTGGTGATCGTCAAACACTTGTTTTAGGACACCTTGTGAACAAAGCTGGCGTTTGGTTGGACCCGCAGAAAGTTGATGCCATCAGCAAGTTCAAGCAGCAGTGGTCTCTCCGGGAGCTGCGAAGCTTTCTGGGCTTATAATCTTATTTATGCCGCTTTGTGCCTAATTTTACTGAAATAGCCCAGCCACTGACTTACTTGCTGCACAAGGTCGTGCCTTTCCACTGGACACCAAATTGTGAGTCAGCGTTTAAACAGCTATAGTTCGTTCTCATTTCCGGGCCAAACTACACCACTTTGATCCCTCTGCGTCCACGGAAATTCATACCGATACCAGTGGAGTTAGTTTCGGCGCAGTTCTCATTCAACACCACAACAATGCTGAACATATCGTCGCTTATGCAATGTGGTCCCTGAGCAAAGCAGAGCGTAATTACAGTGCAGTCCACTTATAACGATACCACATATAACGATATATCGGTTATAACGATGGGTCGACTTAACAGTCTCATTTTATGCATTGGGGCTATGGGGAAAAAAAACCATATATAACGATATGTTATCCACCGCATATCGGATACAACGATGAAAAGTTTGCCGTGGGCGGCATGTTTCATTCAGAATAATCGTAACATTTAGATTGATAAGTTCCTCTGAAACGAACTATGCCGAGACAAAACGAAAAGTTAGCGTAGGCGAGTACGTGCCGCCACTGCAGCACAGCACCGGCAGCGCGTCCCGGCCGTTCAAAAAGCCGAGGAGAGCATCGCGAGTTGGCACGAGGCGCTACAGATGGCGCCAGCTGTGTCACGTTTTGCGCCTCGCCGCGCGTCGACCGCGGAGAGGCTGAGAGAATTAAAAAAAAAAAAAATGCGAAAAGCAAAGCGCCGCGGCTCCCCGCCTTCAACAACGGCTAGCCGGCAAGCTACTCGTAGCTTGCCGAACGAAAGCGGGAAAGAGAGAGAAAATAAAAAAAGCGA